AATCTCCTTGCAGTCCAAGGGACTCTCAAGAGTCTTCTCCAGCACCACAGTTCAAAAGCATCAGTTCTTCGGTGCTCAGCCTTCTTTATGGTCCAACTCTCACATCCATACATGACCACTGGAAAAACCATAGCTTTGACTATGTGGACCTTTGTCAGTACAGTAATGTCTTTGCTTTTTAATATGCTGTGTGGGTTGGTCATAACTCTACTTCCAAGGAGTAAGAATCTTTTAATTTCATGACTGCAGTCACCATCTGTAGTGATTTTGGAGCCCAAGAAAATAAAGTCTTTCACTGTTTCCACTGTTTCTCCATCTATTTGCCAAGAAGTATTGGGACCAGATGCCATGATCTTAGTTTTCTGAAGCTTTAAACCAACTTTTCCACTCTCCTCTTTCACTTTCATTAATTTATACTTACACCAAAATAAATTTGTTTTTCCAACCTGAGTACTTTTAGGCAACTTAGACTCTTGCTATTTGGTTAGACAGAATATTTATTTTTCCTTGAAATAGCCAAAATGTAACACTGGGGAGTGAAAGAATAAACTATAGTATTTGTCACACTTAAAAGTAGTCTGTCTTAAAAGAGATGCACAAAATAAATTCATGTAGATAGCATAGATTAGTCTTAGTGATATACTATTAAACAAGCAAAAAAAACCTGTTACATAAAGGATTCTGCCCTTTTTATAAAGTTAAAAGTAATAAACTTAAGAAATAGATTTTGAAATAAGTGAGGGTAAGCTGACTAGGGGATTCCTGACATGGGTTTGTTTGTATGATGTGGGAACTCAGGGCACCAAATGTTCAGGAAGATGTTAGATATGGGTTATTTTCAGATTGTGGCTTTGGTTTTATATTATGAACTTTGGTTATCAAATAATATATGAAAGAATTAATAAATAGAAGTGTGGCTTTAATAGCCAAATTAAAAGCAAGTGGCAGGAACCAAGGTTTGTGGTTAATAGGATATCCAAGAGAGAATAATCATACTATATTATTTAAGTTTATATTTCAATGATTAATATTGAGTTTGACATCTTTTCAATTACATGGCCCTTTTCATTCTGTTTCATCTTTTCCCTCTCCGTTGCTTGCTTGTTTCACTTGATTTTATTGTAAATATTTAATAAAAACAGATTCTAGTTTTTTTTTCCCATGAAGGGGAATTTCCTAATTACATTTCAAGTACAGTCTTTTTTTTAGGGGAGTGATGGAGACATTCTGGCACACTTGTGATAAATTAAATAGACTCTATGTTTTCATTTTTAAATCATTGATGTGGATGTGTCTGTGTCTGTAACAAGGACACATCTATTATATGCTTTTAGAGGTGAGCAAATTTTAAAGATATTTCAAAGTTAAATATTTTTATTGATTACATAAAAATACTTAGATATTTGTCTAAATAGATCTCTTGACTCTGCTTTATTAATATAGGTTTACCATTTATGCCTAATTTAAAAAGTGGCCACTGTATAGTCAAAATTTTTGGAAAATCCTAGAACATTTTATTTATCTAACTAGCCATAAGGTATCAGCGGAATTTAAACTCATTTAACTGCATTAGCAACTACTAAGAAGGAATGTTGCATTTAGAATAACTAAAAACTGTATCATGTTGTTAATTTGTAACATAAGCAGTAATATATGTTCCCATAGATAGAAATCTGCAGAGAAAATAAGATAGGACATTTACTGAAATTAGAATATTTATCAAAAACAAATTGCATTTTCCTTATGTGTTCACTGAGCTTAAATGTTAATGAAATTCTCCCTTTCAAATTATATTCACAAGGCAAATATTAGATAAGACCATGTTATCAAGGATAAAAAAATGATTGAATTTCTGGTTTTACACTTGATAATCTGGAACAGAGATGTAGGTCAATGGGGAAAAAAGGGTATTTAAGATGTTACTGTTGCTTAGATAAAGTGATAGTTCATTCAAAGAAATAATCAACCCTGTGCACACTTGGAGAAAAAGTGATTTCTTTTCATTCCAAATGCCAACTGAACTGTAAAGGGTGACATTTTGAATAAAGGAAAGTAAGAATGAAAATGGATTATAAAAAAAAAAACTTATCAAGCTTATCAAATTGTACTCTTCCATTGCTTAGTCCAAATCTCTGGAGCTGACTTTTCTTATTATATTTTCAAATGTTCTGGTTCAGTTTCATTCAAATTGTCTAAATGATTTTTAGTTGAATTAAATATATTTTTGGACAAGAGTTCTTGTTAAAAAATCTCAGTAAAATGGAAACATGGAAACTTTCCTACCAACCAACCAACCATCTGTTCTGATCCAAAAATCAGTCTGCAAATTTCTTACAGCAGCAATGGCAAAATTCTAGCCTAGATGAATTTACGTGTCCCTGAGAGAGAGAAGTTTAAACAGTGATGTTGGATATTTTGCAATATGTTCTTCATTTTTTTTTTTGATTCATACAAATGAAGATGAAGGGAATTCACTAAAATCTGAATGGTCAAAGAAATGATATAGATGACAATAGAGAACTACTAAATTAGAAAATGAAGTTTATCCTACATTTGACTCCTGGGATTTACATTAGGTTCATTCTTAGCCAGAGAGAGAGCCTATTGGTTTTATTACAATTAAAATAAAATTTGCCTTGAATTGTAATTTAATATATTTTGAGGACATGCAAATATTATTTAAAACTCTCTATTCTTTTTAAATGTATGCATTGAAATGTAGTTGTTAATGTTTGAATCCAGACTAACTGAATCATGGCACTGTTCTAGGGATAATAAACTAAATGTTAGATAAAAAGAAAGACATATGGTATAACACTGAAGAAAATATAGATCATACAGAGACAAATTTTAGACTAAAATACTAAAAAACATTTATAGTGACACTTACTTTTGGCTTCCCAAGTGACATTCTAATTTCTGTGTTATTCTCTTAAACAGGAGAAACCTCAGACTTTCCTCTGATCTATTCAGCCATCTAACCATGTTATCATCCATTTTATTGGCAACATAATTGTTAACTCATGATGAATAGTCATGTAACTTAAGTAGAATATTATGTGATTTGTAATTCAGCTTTATCTATGCTATATTCCGGGCTCATCTAAGAAAACAGAAATCACTGCAAATATTTAATTGAAAGGAATTTGTATAAGGTATTGATTACACGGGTAATAGGACTGTGAGTCATAGCAGAAAATAGGAGGGCAGAGCAGGGAGCTGGGGCAGGAACAGAGGGCTGCAGAAGCATGACCACGCTCAGATTTAGGATCACCTGCTGGAAATCAGCAATGCAACAGCCTGTCTGGCTGGAGGAAGGGCTATAATTGAGATGGCATTGGAAGCAGAGAGGAAGGGGAGACTCTGACTTCTCCCTACTTCTACCGTCCGGGTCCCTATGCCTGTCTCCCACAGCCAGGGAACGGTGAAGCCAGCTAACCAGCGAGCCTAGGAAACGGGGTGTGTTTGCTTGAGCAGGAGTCTCAGGCTCATGCGACTTTCTAGCGCCCTCTGCACAAGTTTGAGCCTAATGTCTTATCAAATGTTTCCATTTTATAAAATTCTCTTTTTCCTAAACGCACACAGCAGTATATCTTGGTATGTCAGACGACATCAAATAACTGTGACAGGCAGTTCAGTTCACACCGTTCAGGCACCACTCAGTCAAGCGTTAATTTTCTACCAGGGCTGATTAGCCGTAAGGTACTGGCTAGTAGCTGAAGGTATGACTTTTATCTCAAAACCCTAGAGATCTCTGAAACCGTTCTCCTTCAGAAATTGCAAACACATTTATTTACCACAGTCATTTTAAGCACCATTATATCTGCTGGTTCCTACGACTTGTCGGTTCTGTTCAGCTCAGTGGCTCAGTGGTGTCCGACCTGAGTCTCCTGATATTTTTGTGGAATAGCCTGGAGTTACTTCAAAGCCTCCCCTTACCCTGGGCGTCTTTCATACCTAGCAACATGGTGGGTTCCATGAGTAAATTGTGGGAATGGAGAATATACTGACTCTGAAATTCAAGCATATCCAACCATCAGTGCAAAAGTCTGTTCTGTGTTTTAAAGGGTGACACTCGACAACACCCAGAACCCCGCTCCCTTGGGAGCTGCGTTGATGAAGCAGGCGCCTGCACTTTTGCAGAATTTGTCTGATATATATGTGCCTCACTCTAATCCTTCCTGTTTCTAATTCACCAACCTAATCAGATTCTGTGTCATTTATACCATTGGATTTGCTTCAAGGCTGAAGATCAAGGAACAATTGGATTACTGACTAATCCTATACTGAAATTCCTTACTATAGAGTTGGATTATCTGAACTTTCTTTTGTCTAATCAGAAGCAATTGTAAAAAGCCCTCCAGGAGAACACTGAAGTTGAAAAAAAGATTGTAACACTTTTAACAGCAATAGTTATGGAGCTAGTTTCTTAAAACAGGTCACTGAACTATAAGATATCTTATCCTTAGAGAAGAAAATATAACTATTCCAAATAGAAGAAAGGATTGATTTTAAATGAGAAATAGTCTAGACAATGAGAGGTCAGTAGACAGCAGCTTGAGAAGGTAAATCCCAACACATATTTTGATTGTTTTAGAGTTTAGATTTTCTTTGTCTCTCAACCTCTGTATTCAGATTTAAAGGGCTCATGGGATTAGGTTAGTCCTATTTAGATCACCTCTCTTTTGATTGGCCTAAAGTTGAGAAGTAAGTACCCTTCCCTTACTTACTTCTGTAAAATCCCTTTGCCATATAATGAGTGACACCTGTTTATAGTTGTAAATTTCACCCCATCTTAGGGGGGAGAGATTATAAAAGCAAGGATCACCAGGGTGGTTTTAGTATTCTGGGTACCACAGCTTCATTTCCTTTTTGCCATTTCCCCTTAAGATAAAGTTATAGGTGCTTTCCTTTCATATATGTTTGAAAAGAATCACCACGTTATAATGTGTGTTCTCTTACTACTTCATTGTGCTTTTGACCATTCCTCCTAGGTTGAATGTGGAGGTTCCATGCTAGGCTATTCATCTGGACATCAGAATGGTACAAGTTCTATGACATTTCAAGAAGATCAGTCTTGCCAGGGAGGAGGGATGTGATAATCTCAATCATTCACAATAAGGTTAGGAACAGAGTTCCCAAAATAAGATTTGTGTATTTTCAGACTGATTTATCCAGTTTATCCTAATTGGCTACTTCTGGTATTGCTTGAGAAAAAAGCCAGAAATGAAATGAGGTTTCTAAGTATTGTATATAAGTTCTTTTGAAAGAGGTATAAGCCAGGAACAGCAATATATACTTTTGAATGTTGTGTGTGGTGAGACATTTTTCAGTCTTCTGTATGTGACCAGTTGCCCCAAATTTATAAAACCTCTCAAGTTGCAACAGATCAGGTTAATAGCTGTTTTTCTTTCAGATTTCTTAAGATGTCAGACATCTGCTCAACATAAAAAGGGAAATCCTGACACTGATGTAAAAATATGTTCCTAAACTTTCAGGTAATAGTTTCTTTATACTAAAATAACTTTAGTGCCTTTGAAGCCTTAAGCTAGTGAGAATGTTCTGTTCTTATTTTTGACACATGGGGGTCTGGGAAAAGATGTAAAAACACCAGGTGCCTTGGTTTATTAAGTATGGAGTTAGAAAGGACATGGGGTAGAGATATTTAGAAAACATATGTAAGAAGCTGAAAGAGTGTAGCTAAAGAGAACAAAAACTTTTGAGAAAAATGTGTGTATTTCTAAGCAGGTACTCAATTGGTTGCTCATCTCACACATAGTGAATGCAAGAATAGTACAGCTACATGTTGTAGTCTTAAGTGTCATAAAAGGAAGGATATGGGCCAATAGTACTGGTGGGTTTAAAAAGAAATCTCTCTCTTCACAGTCATTTGGTGAATTGCCATCATGTTATTCTAAAGTAAGAAGCTGCAATAGACTGCCCTTTAAGAAGGGTAAAATAATCAAGACATTAGTTAACAGGTTTCAGTTCAGTCACTCGGATGTGTCCGACTCTGCGACTCCATGGACTGCAGCACAGCAGGTCTCCCTGTCCATCACCTACTCCTGGAGTTTACTCAAACTCATGTCCATTGAGTCACTGATGCTATCTAACCATCTCATCCTCTGTCGTCCCCTTCTCCTCCCATCTTCAATCTTTCCCAGCATCAGGGTCTTTTCAAATGAGTCAGTTCTTCGCATCAGGTGGCCACAAGGATTGGAGTTTCAGCTTCAGCATCAGTCTTTCCAATGAATATTCAGGACTGATTTGCTTTAGGATGGACTGGTTGGGTCTCCTTGAAGTCTAAGGGACTCTCAAGAGTCTTCTCCAACACCACAGTTCAAAAGCATCAATTCTTCAGTGCTCAGCTTTCTTTATAGTCCAACTCTCACATCCATACATGACCACTGGAAAAACCATAGCTTTGACTAAATGGACCTTTGTTGGTAAAGTAATGTCTCTGCTTTTTAATATGCTGTCTAGGTTGGTCATAACTTTACTTCCAAGGAGCAAGCGTCTTTTAATTTCATGGCTGCAATCGCCATCTGCAGTAATTTTGGAGCCCAAGAAAATAAAGTTTGTCACTGTTTCTCCATCTATTTGCCATGAAGTGATGCGACCAGATGCCATGATCTTAGTTGTCTGAGTGTTCAGTTTTAAGCCAACTTTTTCACTCTCCTCCTTCACTTTCATCAAGAGGCTTTTTAGTTCTTCTTCACTTCCTGTTATAAGTTAATGGGTTTATACTACTGCAATTCATATTCCTATCTTGAGAGTAATAACTTGAGTAGACTGATGTGCACATTTCCCAGACACTGAAATATAGACAAACTCATAAACCATATTGTCTGACAAAACAAACATTAATTTTTCCCCACTTACTTAGGAGTATTTTTTCAAAGTAGGCATGAATCATTTAAAATAAATGCCTCACTGTCTATTCACTAAACCCATCAAATTTGCTCCGAGACTTTGCTTTCAGTATGCTCTTTCACTCTGCTGGCTGCCAAAACCAAAAGCGGTGGAAGGATTTTCAGTGCAGCAAAGAAAGGGAGAATCAGATGCTTATTCATAAAACAACCAAGCAAAACAAGCCGCATAAGCAGAAACACATTGCCAAGCCAATCCGCAATCCAGCAGGGCTGAGACAAAGCAGCCAGGTATGGCAGAGCTCCCACTGAGGTGGTCCTATTTTAAGCAAAGCCCAGAGCTTGTGAGCAGAGTCCATTTTTTTTCCTATTTTAATTCAATAGAAACAGAACAAAGCAGATTCCAATTCCATCAGCGAATTAGACAGAGCTGAACCAAATGGATTGTAAGCAGGCAAAATATGACAGAGCAGGCCAATGGAGTTTCTGAGAGAGGATGATAGAGAGAAAGAGGGCCAAATCATTTAAAGTTTTATTTTATTTTAATTTCCCATTTGATTCAAATAGATTTCCAAGTACCCAAGAGATATTCTAAGATCAATTTGAAATTTGGCGGAAGTGTGCAAGGCAGAATTTCAACTGCAAAGCCAGTCAGGAACAACTTATGTTTTATAATATAAGATCCTTTGGATGGTCTAAATTTTAGTTCCTAATATATTGTGTAGCTGCCTAAACTGTGGCAAATATTTTCATTTTCCAAATATATTTTACTTCATAAGCAGTTACAGAATTTTCTTTTTTTTTGAGTCAAAGTTTTCTTCCCAAATCAGTATGTGTGTGCGTGTGTTTTGTTTGCCTGTAACTTTTGGAGGGTTTCTCTCTTTTGGCATAGTTAAAATAATCTTTTTTTCCAAAGTTAATATTAGCGTGTGTGCATATCTTTTAAAAGTTCAATTTAATGCAGTTACTTAATTTTTTCTTTTATATTATTTATAAATAAGAAAGACTGAATATATTCTTAAAACTGGAGGTTTGACATGAGTCCCTTAGGAGGCAGAGACAAACTCAGATCTCAGGCCTCACCTGAAATAAGCAGCCCAAGAGGCTCTTGAACATAACTCTGTGTGTGGCCTGGAGTCCTAGTCTGTGGCCCACAAATTCATTTCTTTCTTGCTCACCATTACCTTCTTGCCAGAAGTTTGAGTGTTTGCCATAGTCTTATGGCTCAGAACATCATCTTCACGTAAAAAGCCAGATATAGGCATAAAACCAGGAAAAATATATTAGCTTCTTTGTATTTCATTATTGGCTTTGGGAAATAACAAAATCAAGGCCTGAATAACTGTTGGCACAACATTCAGTTAATTGTTATAAAAATGTGTCCTGAAGTGAGTAACAGAAGTATTGGATTTGAAACTAATTTCGAACATCTGATTCATTTGCTTCTAACTCTCCTGTACCCTGTGGGTTCCTGAAGGGATAATGGGTAAACATATAATGTGCTTCACTTGCTACAAAGGGAAATAAGTCTGATTTATGGAGAATGATTCAAAAAAGACAATATTTTACAGTGTGGTCAGTGAAAAACCTCACTAAGAACATGGCATTTGGGCAGAGAGCTGATGAAACCCAAAGTCTAAAGTAAACCTTGGAAATGCTCCAAAGGAAAGAGTCCTAAAGACAAGAGTAAGTTCAGGACCCTGACATATAACACTCTTGGTAAAATGATGAATACTTAGTAGGCTATTAGTGCTGAAGATGAGGAGGATAGAATAGGATTTGGTTAAAGGATGACAGTGCATGATAAATATTTTCATCTTAATAGATATTTCTTTCTGGCACCATTATCTCAATGTAAAACTTCCCAACATTGAGAAAACAATGGGAAAATGCTAGAAGTGCTGGAAAATCTAACTTTGAATGTCAGAATATGCTTTCTTGCTGGCTCAGTGGTAAAGAATCTGCCTGCCAATGCAGGAGGCAAAAGAGATGCGAGTTCAGTCCCTGGGTCAGAAAGATCCCCTGGAGAAGGAAATGACAACTCATTCCTGTATTGTTGCCTGGAGAATCCCGTGAACAGAGGAGCCTGGTGGTCTACAGTCCATAGTGTTGCGAAAGAGTGGGACATGACTGAGCAACTAAAGCAAACCAGCTTCCCTAAATGTTAACATTTTACTACGTCTTCTATATCATTTCCTCCCTGCGTGTGTATGTGTGTATAAGGTTATGACCCATTTCAGAGTAAGTGTTCAACATAATATTTAAATATTTCAGTGTATTTTTCCTATAAACAAATAACATTTCATGCATAAGAACAGTAGAACTATCAATTGTGCATACCAAGAATTTGTTGAGAGAACAGGGTAGTTATTCTGAAGAACATCTCATCTAGTGTTCCTCTGTATAGCTCTCCTGTAACACTCTGTGTCAAGACCCGTGGCCCCCTTACCTTCCTCGGATCCCCAGTTCAACTCAGGGCATCTGCTAGGTTCCAGCTGGGTTCCCTTGCCTGCACTGTATCTGGAAACTTCATGAAAGTGAAAGTCGTTCAGTCGTGTCTGACTCTTTTGTGACCCAATGTCTGACTTTTTGTTCCTTTATTCATTCTAATTGAATAACTATTTTAAAGAATGCCAATTTTATTCTTGACAATAATGAAAAAAAAAGAAACACTATGCAGTCCGTGGAATTCTCCAGGCCAAAATACTGGATTGGGTAGCCTTTCCCTTCTCCAGGGGATCTTCCTAACCTAGGGATCAAACCAGGGTCTCCCACAATGCAGGTGGAGGCCATGTGCTGAGTCTAAATTGTACTGTTACCCTATTTTCTCATCTTTCAGAGGTCATTTTTGTTGCCTGATGTACAATATCTTGCTTATTTCTCATCATGTACTTTTTCCACTTTTTGGTGGGTTTGGAAGGGAGGCTATATCCACTCTCTGGACTCTGTCAATTTATATGCTATCTGGCATCATTTGTCTCCAGCAAGCAAATGCTTGGAACTGACTTCTCCCTGCAGTCTCCTGTCTCTCTCCAAATTTCAGGTTCCTTGTTTACCCTATATAATAGTAGTACAAGTACTTTATAGCCAATAACAAGAGCAAGGGTAAATCTGTTCATGGATAGGAAAACAGCAGTACTGATTATGCAGCTGTCTTTTGTTCCTAATTAAATTTCCAGGAAGAATAAAAGAAAATACACAAAATGAATTTATATCATTTTGGGGAATTTATTAGAAGACCGTATGAAAATGTCAGGAAGAAATTTATTTAAATTTAGTGTTAATGTGCTTGAATTAAATGCTTTTATTCTATAAAGTTAGCTGCATGCTTAAATTTATTTTAATAGTCATTAAGTAAAAGATAAAGCTTATGTCACATCTATGTGAAAATTCTACTTGACACATTTAGTATGCTTTTATACATACATATTCAAGATAAAAAGTGAGAAGCATTCAGTTGTGCAAAATTATTGAAAAGTTATTGATAGTTTCATTCCTCTATAATAAATTTCTGGATCATGAAAGTATATATGATAGGTAGCTCTGTGGATTATATGTGTCTGCTTTATTTTTAAGTAAATATACACGTATAGGCTTCCCTGGTGGCTCAGGCAGTAAAGAATCCACCT